TCTTTGCCACTGGAAGCATCATTCATTCCACATCTGAGGAACCAGTCTCCCTTTGCCTGAAAGCTACACTAAGGCATCCCCTGAGACAGTTACCTTAGAGGCTGACTTCTGACCATCCTACAGACCTCTCATTATTGAAACACAGGACCAGACTCAAATCCCAGGAAGTCGTGGAGGTTGCATATAAAATTTGACCTGCACACATGCAGTATGTATGAAAAGATCTGCAAGATCTAGCCAATCTCTGTTAACACAAAGCTGGAAATATACATCTTAGAGTCCTCTTCTTTAAGTGTGTCTGTACTAGGGTTGGACAAAAGAGAAATATGGGACACATTCAGAAAACAGAAGCAGCAGCCACTATGCTCTGCAGGTTGGGGTGATGTGAAGTAGGATGTAAAGGGGGACAGGTTTAATCTATTCTCACTCTTCCTTCCCTAGTCCATATCACCTTTTCTACTCTACACCTACCTAGCTTGTCTCAACTGGAAGGCTTGCCCACCAACAGTAACCCCAGGCCCACCAGAAACATGACTAGACCTAGAGACATGGTAGCTACATGCTCTGGATTCTGAGTCCACCTTTGCAGTGTCATACTAAAAGTGGGGTATTAACTACTTTTTTATAACTGCATGTTAAATCTATAGAGAATAGCTTTATACTATATGTTTTAATGTTTTCATTTTTACATGCTCTTTAATGAGCATTTATAAGTTTTATACAAGTAAACATTTCAGGCAACCTTCTTTAATCTGGAACCCTCTAAATTCCCTGGCAAAAAACAAACAGTAGGAGTTCTTTTGTTCTAAAAGAACAACAAAAAAAAGAAAACTTACATCATTAGATTGAAACAACCGAGTCATTGCAAAGAAGGCTTCTGTAGCTTCCACAGTTCCAAAGTGTTCACCCTGAATAAAATTTGAAACAATTTTTTAAACTTAAAATGCAGATGTTGGGCCAGGGATTCAGCTCAGTGGCTCAAGCACTTGCCTGTTAAGCACAAGGCTGTTAGTTCAATCTCTGGTACCAAACAAATAAACAAATGCAGATGTTAAGAACTTTCTCTTTATTTCTGCATAAATCTTTCAGAAGTCAGGAAAAAAGTTTCTATGAATATTCTGTTTCTTGGTAATTTTTCTGGCTTTCAATATACAAATGTGCATGGCCACTTACGCATACCTTATTTAACTCAGTATTGCACAACACACTTAAATGTTATGATTAGTGCTAAGCTTTTAACAGAAACTGTTTTTACTTCCTTGAAGCTTATCTATAAGGAGACAAAATATGATGCAAGCAGAGTTTCTAATCAGAATAGGATGTCACTATTACACTGCCCAACAACACAGAGATCACACCTTGTACATTTCAACAATCCAATGCCCAGCACAACGCCTGATATATCATAGGAGCCTAATAAATATGAAACTGTAGGAACTGTCTATGAAGAACACCATAAAATACAGCAAAATGGGGTCTAATCAAAAGAAAATGAGCCAGATTTATCATGTTAGTATGGCTGCTACATACTTGCCCAAGACACTTGCCCAAACCATTAAAAATATAATTTAGATTACAGCTTAACAAACTTTAATTTAGAACCATTTGTGAATCTTGGTGAAATGCAGATTCCAATTCACTGAAATCTTACTTTTAAACTTGAAACTCAGAAAACACGTGGTTTGGTTAACTTTAGTAGAAATTTAACAGTATTTTTCCATAAAGATCTGACAAAAACCAGGGAAAGAGACAAAACAAATGTGCCCAAACCTGTTCATGTAGTTAATTATGTTTATCCTGTGCTTGATAATTTCCTTATCAACATAATTGTTTCATCATGAATTGCCTCATAAAAAGGTACCAATACAAAAGAATTGGCCAAAGGACCAATACAAAATAATATGCCATTCTGAATCAACTTGAACTACTCAAAACTCTGTTCATATAATGTATTTAGCCAATTTGGACATAATTTGTGCTAGGAAAAGTTAAGTCAAATGTAGTTTAAGTGTTTATAATGTGCTACTACAGAGGGATTATGCTTTTTGTAAACCAATATATTTTACTTAAAACTATATTCTTGTTGCTCAGTCTCAATTTGCAAACAACAAAGCTTTATTAAGTTTGAATGAGATCTTCAGTTATAAAACAGTAAAGATTAAAGCATTCTCTTAGAATTCAAATTGCAAACTATAGTCTTCTTAGCACCCTACTATCTATGAAACAAAGTATATTTCTTAAGGCTCTATAAATTTCATGAGATTTTACGGTGTGAAACAAGGGGGGTACAAAAGAAACAATGATAGATGCATAATCTATATTCCATGGCAAGTATTGCTTTGGTTTGGTCTGCCATATCCCACTGTCCACAACAGTGCACAAAACATAGCAGGAATGAGATAAATACTTGCTGAGTAATTGTATGGCAGCTGTTTCTGAATGTTTACCATGTGTTTAGCACTATTATCAATGCTTTATGTTTATTATTTCATTTAATCATTACAACTTCATAAAACAGATATTACCATAATCTTCATTACAGAACAGGACATTAAGGCCCATGATGGTTAAATTACTTGTCTAAAATCATATTCTCAATAATACTGGAACAGGGATAATAAACACAAAATCTGAGTATCACAGTTAAAGTTTTAAAATATTGCTACTACACAAAAAATCTGAAATTTGTCTGACTTTGCACTCTATTTTCAGAAAGTCATAAGGACACCAAAAAACACACAAACAATATGGTTTAATTTGTACTTATTAAACTGACATCAATATATTCATTGAGAATCTACTATGTGCTTAAATGGTTTAATAACCTCATGAATATAGCAAGAAACATGTCATGCACTTTTTGCTCTAATATTTTAGCATATTAATAATTTAATCAAATTTGTAGATTTCAAAATTCAGTAAATTTTTAAAAAATTACTATACTTTCTAGAAAACACTTCACTGCATGTCATATATTTCTATTCTGTGACACAAATCTCAGGAAAAACAAAATAATTTACCTGGTTCAGTAAGTAGAGAATCTTGGTAAGAATATGCAAACATCTTCTTGGATTGATAGGAGTTTCATTGAATATACGAGCCTATAAAAACATTATGTATAGTGTATTTGCTATCACAAATTACCTCAACTCAATTTTCAAACAGACTGTATTTAATACAATCTACAAAATGGTTAGTTGTCTACAGCTCTCACTTTACTATGGTATATGACAAATTATTAGACGTGGCCTTGATTTTCATATCTTTTCTAACTCATTCCCTTAGTTTAACCACTCTATGAGGTCCCTGCGTATGGATTTTATATTAAACAGCAGTCACCATGTGTATCAAATGAACACAATGAGATTAATTTCTCAACACGTAACAGAACCCGCATTTCTATAAGCTCTATTATTCCTGTGTCATGCAAATCCTACTCTTTTTTCCTTAAGCTTATATTTTCTGAACTCAATTACATTCCATAGTTCTCATTTTGGATGTCCTGATCATAGTATCCCAAAGGTTCTTTGCACATCATTCTAAAACAGAATACAAAAAAATCACAATTTACTGTCACCATACCTCCTGTAAGACAGCACTCTTCTCCAGATGCTGGAAAGGATTGGAGCCACTACCTATAGCATAAAACAAAACAAGTCTTCAGTAGCTGCCCTATGCATTTATTTTCTAGACAAGGATACTAAAATGTTTGGGAAATCTCAAGTGAGGTGATCACTTAGCTATCACAGTGACAATAATTACTACTATGCATATAAATCAAATGAAGGCATTTTGATTCTGATACAAGTCCTGTCGTCACATACTCTCAAGAGCTTGGATCTCTTCTGCAGGAACCATGCTCAAAATGCGAATCTTTGTTCCCTGCCCCTCTCCCACCCCCAACGAATGTTACAAACGTGTCATTTCCACACAAACGAAGATTAATTACATTATGGTACAGCACTTTTGATTTAGCTAAAAGCAAGCCTTATTTTATGTGTTTCTAAAATTTACTGACAGGCACAGATAAAGAGTTTCGCAGAGAATCACATGAAAGTAAACATGGATGAGGCCACGGGTGTTAACTAACCTAACCCTTTACCACGCTTGGCAGCTTTCAAACATTGGGAATTTTTCTTCTTTTGGGGATGGCTTGGCATCTTCCCCATCTGCTGGAAAGTCACTTCAGGATGCAGGAGCATTCAAAGAGCTATGTCCCATGGGACAGCTGGCCCCTGGGAACAAGTGACAATCAAGGGCCACCAAGAAGACTAGAAGGTGCAAAACACCTCCATGTCCATACACACGCACTCGCTGCCCCGTGGACCCTAGCCCCGGAGAAGACGGTGTGTACTCGGGACCTAAAATCACCAGCACTCCCGGCCACAGAGGCCGGCACAGCAGTCCTCCAAGGCAGCTGCAGACCAGCGGGACTGCGGTTCAGAGGGGCTCAGTGGAGGGTGGAGGCGGGGACTGGGCGGGGACAGAGCGGGGGCGGGGCCGCCGAGCAGCCCGAGGCGGTGCCGCGCGCCTGGGCGGGAGCGCACGGCCCAAGGGGAGGCCCCTGCGCCCGAGGGAGGGGCTACGGCAGCCCCCGGCTGGAGCGCCCACGTCCCCAGCCCAGCAGTGCGGGAAAGCAGGTGGCAGCGGGCTAAGTAAGGGGGCACCCGCGGCTGAGGGTGGGTGACAGAAGCCCGCGCGTACCAGACTCTTCATCCTTCTTGTCGAATTTTTTAATCATCTTGGACGACTTCCCAGCGCCCAGACCCACCGCAACCGTCCCAGGAGCTGCTGCCGGCAAGCGGAAAAGGCTGCAGGAAGGGCGGCCCCGTCTTCTCTTGCCGGTTGGGCCGCCCGGCCGTCACTCGGCGCCAGGCCCCGCCCTCCCGGGCCGTCGCGGATGCCCTCCACTCCGGGGACGTAGCCACGCTTGTTCGTACTCCCGCCGTCGCAAGGGGCGTGACCAGGCGGCGCTGGGGGTTCGCGCGTCCGCCCCGCCCACTGTCCCAGCCCTGGCGGCTCACACTTGTAGTCTGCTGCAAGGTGATTTTATTTGGTTAGCGACTCCTGCAGGGCCCTCGGTCCCTGTAAAACTAGGCGAGAGCCCTGAAGGGTTTGTTTTCACTTAACGAGAGTGGCATTTTCAATTATCCACTGCTGGGCCCTTCCGTTGCGGAAGGAGTTTTCCCCCGGCGCGTTCCGGGTGGGAGTCTCCTTCTGAAGCGAATCCAGTGTGAGTGGTTCCTGGAGCAATTGAGAAGTTGACGATTCACTCACTGGCTTCTTGGAAACTACGGCAAAGCACAGAACATCGTACTGAATGTTATTTCCAAACGCGATAGAAAGATACTTAATGAGAGGCTTGAGAGACCCCAAAGCTGCTCTTTACTCCTAGCAAGAGGGTAGATCTTTTGGATCACAGCCTGCCATTCCCAGCTTGGATAATATCTGTATTCCTTCTCTTCATCAAAAGCCAGTTTAAGGCACACTGCCAGTATAATCTTTCTTGTGTAGTCCCACCCCCTTCAAGGGATTCCATCTCCAGCCCTTTTGACAATTAACTCGATAAATTGATGTGCACTCATTCATACATTCGCGTGCCTTTTTAACCTTTGAGAAAGTGTGTGTTGGTGTTCTGTTTAGAGTGTGACAAGCTTTTTCTACCTTTGGCTTCAATGGCATTACATTATCCAGATTCTTTTAAACTTGTGCCTGTTTTTTTGTTTTGTTTTCTTTTTGTTTTTTAAGCATGGGATCGTCCTGCTCCCACCCCTCCCCACTTTTTGGATGTATCTTGCCTTATCCCTCGCATCTGCTCTTTTATCCCTACTGGCATCACTTGGTTCCAGTCCTATCCTTTCCTTGGACAGCCTACTCATCAGTTTTCAAGGTTTCCATCCTACCGTTCTTAGGGTAACCTTTATTTGGATGCCTCATAAACAAGAAGCATTATTTTGGAGGGAGAATGCTTCAGATGTGTCTGAAGCTTCGATTCCTCTTCAGATGTGTCTTTGTCTAGGAAATGAGCCATAACGAGCTCTTTACTTACAAAAAGTAAAATATCAACTTCCTTTTTTTCTTTTTCAAAAACTAAAAATCACCTTACCATAAATCAAGATAGTAGCTGCCAACTGAGATTAAGTGTTCTCTCTGTAAATGTAAATTGAGTGCATCCTGGTAACCACCCTGCTCTTCCAAAATTAGGGAAACTCTAGAGGAGTTCTTTCTCGTTTGTATGGATTTAAGTTGAACTGCAGTATCCTACATATGGTATCATTTAATATTTAACTCACACTTGACTAAACATACTGTATTAACAGTTATGTTTGCTTTCTCTGGCTTATAATGTTCAAACCTTGCTTTCCATGTGGAATTGCTCTTGGAAGAAATAGATGTTTGCATTTATATAATCTGAGGATGAAAATAAACCGGCTTTAGGGAAGTAGAGATCCATTTTCCCTTCCTTAGGCCAATGGTATTGGGAGCTAACTAAGCAGAAATAGTGTTCATAAGAATGGGAATGTGACAGATGCCTGCTGGGAAGTACAAAGAAAATGGGGTTGGGGTGAGGCTGAACCTAAGAGTGACCCCTTTTGAAGAAAAATAAATCACTCTCTGATGCTGTTGCTCTATATCAAATTCTGTTTCGTGCCACAGGTTGGTTTTAGTTGCATATGGAAAGTTAGGGAGAGGTAGTAAGTGGGAATGGGATGGAGTGGCATGTAGGGATAGGAAGAACAGAGGAGTCTGAAGAAGTGAGTTAAAGAGTGGTGTAACATGAGGTCACACCTCTGAGACTAGGGCTGAGGATGCTGGCAAAGGTGGTGGTCACTGGGATGGCCCTGAGGCACAGGAAAGTATACCTTTGGGGGAGCCTCAGAGAAACCCAGTGAGAGGAGTGGGCCTTTTCTTACGACCATGGTTAATGGTAGTCTAGGGGACCATCAGTTACATGTCTAATACACATTTGTGTATCCAGTGCCCTGAAAACCTTCAGGGGGGCCCAACTGCCAAATAGAGAAAATTTATACACTATAATATGCAAGGCTTTTCATGGTCTCATTTATCTCACGTATGGAAAGTGCTATCATTGGTATTTGCAAAGTGTCCAACATTTAATAGGGATCCTGTAAGTATTGTTAAAGACAACATGTGAGAAGCAATTTCATTAACATCCTCTTCCATACAACCTTTTCTTAACTCTTTCCTCCCCATCCCCATTCCAACCTCAGAGAGATTTGTTAATCTCTGAGACTCACAGACTTAATCACTTTACTCTCCTAAAGCAGTTTCCCTCAAAGTAAGATATGCATGTGTCTCGGTGGTTTTATGTGGTACGTAGATATTTTAAAATTTATAGATTCATATACCAGAACCATGTTTTCAAGAATATGACATGATTTAGGATAAAAAATTTTCAAACCTTTTAAAGAAAAATGCTAGGTAAATAATAGAGAAAATCATATTAATAATATATTTTAAAAAAACCATAAGAGTAGGATGTGCAATAGTTTGGGAAATACTATGCTTGCACTTTCTAAAAATTTTACCACTTGAGTTTCTTTTAGCTCTTTGCTTCCCTGCTACAAGGAAACATACTGTCAGAGCCACTAATATCAATTTCTGCTTATTAGAGGATTAGAGATCCTCATGAATTTTACTTCTAACCCAGTGAACAACTGCATTGAAAGAAAAGAACTTACCATCTTTCATCTTGTCTCTTTCACAGACTGGAGCAAAGTTAAGCTGTGGGTACATTTTTTTCTGTTTCCTCAAAGCATACATTTTCGAGTACTGCCCTTCAGTCTTAAAGTCACTGTCAATGGAAAACCTTAACCAAAAAAAGAATTCCATTTAGTGGACCCTGAGGCAGGAGGTTAATGGTACTGCATACTTTAAAACTGACTGCGTCCTCAGGGATTTCGGGAAACAGAGAGGGACAATGACCAGATGTTGTTGGTTAGTTCAGAGTGAGAGCATCACTCAGTAGCAAGGTAGCACTGCCAACTCTTGAAGTAACTTTAGAATCTCCTCTCTCTCCTCCAAACTAGATAAAAGCTGCTCCAATAACTGATTTCAAATAAAACCTCTATTGTCTTTGTGCTTTCATGACACATTGTTCCTTCACTTTAGTCTTTAATTTGCACTGAGAATACGTTTTTTCTGTTTCCTAAAAATGCAGACCTTAGAAGAGACCACTTTCCTTCACCCTTGAAATTACAGTCAGTGGAAAACTTTATCTTTGCATTACTATTTCTCTTTCATTAACGCGCATTAAAGTTCACAGTTTGAAAGCTTGAGGCTGAAAGTCATCTAGGGACTCAGTATTAGGTAGCTGGACAGGCTCCTTACAACTAAAACTATGTGAGGAACTTCTCATTATGCCTTGTTCTGTGCAACCTTATCTAAAACTGCTTTGGGTCCCCTTCTGTATTTGTTAAATATTAATGAAAGTAAAAGTGACAAGAAAAAAATAAGACAATGAGTACAGGAGGCAAAACTTTACCTAAACCATTGTTTTTTCTTGGATTTAGGATCATCAGACTTTTTCATATAGAAGACTGGTTTCAGCCCAGATCTCAACTTTTTTTTCTGAGGCATCACAGTCAGGCAAAAGCTCTTGGTGGGTTTGTGCTGATGACTTTCCTATATGTGGCAAAGGGAGGAAAAGTGAGCAAGTAAGCTGAGTCCAAGATAGTAAAGATAGTTATACTACTAATTTCTCTTTGCTCATTGAAAAGAAAGGGTTGTGCTAATATAGTTTGGTCCATTTTTTCATGCCTATGTCTTGTATCCTGTGCAATTACTTTGAGAATAACAAATGAAATGTATTAATCATTGTTACTATCCTACTGTTTTGAAATTTCAATTCATTGTTTTTATTGGGGTTTTTTTTCCCTTTTTTAAAAAAAGCTTGGATTAAGTTGCTGGACTGTTACATTTCCTTTAAAATGATATGACAACATGTCAGAAAACTGGGAACTCAGAATCCAGAATCAAAGGAAGCAGTTCTCTGAGTGGGATAATAGTTAAGTTTCATTGCCAGATGGCTTGTCCAAAGTTAGTCCAATTCTTAAGTAAATGATTGCAATTTCCAACTGGCCCTTGGAAGTGAGTGAGTGAGAAGTTACTTAGTGTGGGAAAGGATTGTTTGAGAAAATGAACATGTAAAGATAAACTGGGAAATAGATCCATGAGACTCTACCTTCCTTTCTTGTCCATATTGCTTTCTCTGTCTACAGCAAGAAGGCCTGAGAGTGGGGTCTTTTGTGAAGTTAATAATTGCACTGCTCCTAAAGGTCACAGAATCAAAGACTTTTCAGAGTCTTAAAAGTCTTCTAACAGTTCATCTGACATTAATATCCCTGCCATCATTTCACTATCAAGTGACTGATCTTCCCATATCTAAAAACAACAACAAAACCCAGATCTTTTACCAGCCAATAGCAATCTCCCTGAAACTTTTATCCAGTAGACCAAACAGAACAAGTCGAATGCCTCTTCTAGAGTCTTTCAACTTTTTGATGTAATCCTTTACTTTCCTTCCAAGCTATGTTTCTTCCAGGTTAAACATTACCAAAATCTTAAACTTTTCTTCCTATAACACGGTTTTGAGTTCCTTTATTCTCCTGATTTATCTCATGTGAAAAAAAAATTACAGAGTATATTTTTCCTAATTTGAAGCAATCTGAAATGAATACAATGTCAAGTATAGCAACTGCATGGTTCTGACCTCACTGAAGTGTCTATTCAAAAGTCATTACCTCTGCCGAGAGCCTTCCCAACCCATGATCCCAAACTGTCACTTACAAACCATCTCTATTCTGCTTTGTCACAGCACCTGTCACATTATACATTACTGTGTGACTGTTTACATGATTATATCCTGTCTGTCTCACTAAAATTTAACTTCATTAAACCAAAAACTCAGTTGTAAGCGCATAGTAGGTGCTCAATATATATTGCTTGAATAAATTAACAAACTATTAATTGACCTATTGAGCTTTTTGTTTCAGAAATTGAAACCCTTTTAAAAAATACTTGCTGGTGCTGAACCATGATTTCTTAATTCTGAATTAATTCTCTTTAATTTGTTCTAGTTTTAGTAAAATCACTCAAGTTACCTCAACTAAACAGGTGTTTTAATGGAAGTGCACATCTGCCTAGGAAGATAGCTAGTGACCCAGCCATAAAAAGAACAGAAACCTTAGCAGAAATGTACCTCATAGCAGAAAACCAGGAACTAAAAAATTATGTGGAATGAAAACTGGCATTATGTAAGTACCACCGCTCTGTCCCTAACATATCACTATTACTAAAACCTCCTCATTTACTTTCTTCCTGTTTCCTTCACTTCTTACCTCCCCCCACATGTATTCCACTTTCCTATAACTTCATCCCACTCATCCTCTACTTTTATTGGCTCATGCATTTTTTTTTTTTTTTGCACTTAATCGAACTCAGGACCTTGTGCTAACCACGCAGGCGCTATGCTGCTGAACTATATCCCAGCTCTGGTTTTAAATATGTTCAGTTTTCTTTCCTACTGCTTTGATCTTTCAATTTTCTAATTAGGGTGTCTGGAAGCAAAAATCTGATTAACTCAAGAATTTCGGTTGTTTGTAGGTAGGTTAGTTTTTGTTCTGACTGCGTCTGTTTGTTTGGGTTGGAGAGTACTCATCTATCTCACAGGTCACTAACCAGCAGAGAGACGGGGTAACACTGTACAAAATAGGGCCCCCTTAAACCATCCCTGTGGGAGACTGTAGTAATTAATGCCAGTTTCAATTAGGAGAGGCTATGAGTGCAAGAATCATCTTCCATTTTTCAGCTTGCCTACTCCGGCACCCATGCTTTTCTTTACATATGTGTCTGCACATACAGAAAGAATGCTTATCTTACCTGGCTTGAAATCCCAGGTACTAAAGAGGCTGAGGCAGAAGGGTTGCCAAGAAGGTTGTTCAAGGCCAGCTGGGCAATTTAGCAAAACTGTCTCTAAATAAATAAGTAGTAAGTAGGATTTGGGATGTACCCTAGAATCACCTTTTAGCACCAAAAAAAGAAGACAAAAGGAGAAATGTTTTTCTTGTATATATGTAGTGGATTGGTAACTGGTGGTCAATTTAAACACCAGCTGAACTGGATCAGCGTGGTGCTGAGTGTGAATGGCCCACAAGAGGACAACTGCCAGCATAAAAAGGAGACCTGGAGTTGTGGGTTCTCCTAAATGTTGTTGTTGTTGGTTCTACTGGAGGAGCTTGTCATGCTGGCTCCCCTGTATGAACTTGGCTGTTATCATCAGAGGAGCTCAGGACCTTATGGCTGAGAAGGGCTGTGATTCACTTTGGGGGAGGGGGGCTTTTGTCCTTACTTTGAGCACTTCTTCCTGACTCCAGAAGTGAGGATGTGTGCTGTTTAATCTTCAGAATTTTGTCACACTGGCTTCCTGATATATACTTGGCTTTTCTCATCATATGAGGAGGAGTTCCGGACTTCACTGTTACCAAGGATGGTTGTGGTACTTTTCAGGGGGGCCCTGGTCTTTATTTTGAGCATCACTTCCTGGCTCCAGTGCAGAACCCTCAACATATTAGCACAGATCCTTCACCCCACCGGCATAGACTTTCTAGCTTCCACCATTGACCTTTGGGATTTCCTATGCAGATCCATGAAACAGGCTTACATAAGTCATTGTCGTGGGCTCTAGGTTTTCAGCTAAACTCATGCAGGTTATTACCGTGCAATCCACGTCCTCGGTGGGATTTTCTAGGTCTTTAGTGTTGTGGACAAATTTCCTGCACTGTCTTTGTATTTGACTACTTTGGTGATCATTATAAATAACACTATAAGTTATTTGTCCTGTATGTAATTGTTTTCCTTGCAAACTCCTTATTACAACAATATACAAGAGCCTAGGTTCACAAAATACTGTCCTCAGCAAGCAAAGGAGGGGATGCAGGATGAATATTGAAGAGTCTTTATAGATATCATACATTTCAGTCTTTTATAATCAGAGTTTAACTTGTCTACTAATATAATTTAACTGGGCAAATTTAACTGGATACCACTGTTTGCTCATACCCAGCACAGATCATGAAGTGCTAAGTATTGGAAAAAAACCTTTTTTGCACCCAGGTTGCAGATTAAGCCTTGTATTTTTTCTCTATGGTGAGCCAGGCTTCTCTGCCTGGTATTTGTTTCTCCCTCAGTGCATATTGTATACAGACTTCCATGAGAAATGACAGTGAACTTACCATCAAAGGGCACAAATTCTGAGGCCCAGGAGACCACAGGCAATGAATTTGTTAATTCCTTTTATCACACATACCACCAGATAGTAGCATTTTATCTTCCACTTGAAGAGGGATTGCTCACTGCCATCCATCTGGCAACTAAGAATTTTGGAATATACTGATTCCAAATTTGCAGTATTTTATTTAAGGATCTGTCTTGGTTTTTGTTTTTGCTTTTGTTTTTTGAGATAGGATCTCGCTACATAGTTCAGGCTGGTTTTGAACTTACTATAAAGTCCAGTCTGGCCTCAAACTCCTGCCTGGGCCTCCCTAGTGCTAAGGTTACAGGTATGTACCCCCTGCCTCCCCCGCCCCAGTTAAGGATCTGTCTTGGTATACCCTATCCCCTAATTTTTATTATATTCCTTGTCTGCACTTTTACTTAATTTCTCTTGTGCGATTAGACTCTTTCTCAGGGCTGTCAACATCTTGCTTAATATTCTTAAATATGTCTTAAATCAATGCTTCACTTTCTGTACTATTCGACTTACTTCAAATCTTAAGTGCATTTCAGCTTGACTATTTTAGTAACATCATAACTAATCTTCCTGGTTTTTGTCTCTTCCACAACTAATGCACCTTTCTTCAATTTGCAAAATGCTCTCTCTAAACCACAAATTTGATTATATCCTTTTATCTGCTGCCATTTACTGTCTTTCATCATTTCGCTTTCTCGTGCCTCTATGCTTCTGTGTTTCTCTGTGATTGGAATATTTCCTTATTCTTTTGTTGTGAGTCACCTCCTCGATTACTCTGTTTTTCCCTACAGAAACATTGTTCTATAGTCTACATTATTTCTATATTTCATATATTCTTTGTTCATTCATATATCTTGGTATAGGAGAACTACTTTTGTATATCTAATTGATTGGTCACTTATTGGATCCGAGTTAGAAACTGTCCTATAATCATCTTTCTTTTCTGGTTCTTTGCTTACTCGGTGTTCAGCAGTGATATTCTGAATGGGATCTGAACATCTTTGGCCTATAATGAAGTTCCAAATATCCATCTACTGTGATGGTAAATTCCTTTTTCCCTTCTCCTGACAGCTGTAAGCAAAGTAAAACAACCTTTTACTTTTTTCCCATTTAGATATTCATTGCTGTTCCTCGATTTCTGATTCATCTTTTATATCTTATTCTCAACTAGACCCAACCTTGTAGAATTCCTATTCTGAGTATTTCACAGGCCTTCTGGATTCTGCTTTGTGAATCATCTGACCAGGAACTAGAAAGCAGAGGTAGTTTCCTGAGTACCATTCTCCATGTTAAATTAGTTCCTTTCTTAAACTTACTCCTAATTCTTCAGAGTCCATAGTTACAGAGCCAGAGACTTCCCTAGGTACCATTACCTTGAACAGTAAGTCCTCAGAAAAATATTTTGGAGCACTGTCCTTTTCCTGCTGGCAGGTTGGGCAGGGAGGTGGGTTGTTGGTCATAATCAGTGAGGTCATATCCTGATCATACTCAGTTACTTTTAACATGAAGCTCATGATTTTCCTGTTTCGATCCAGGATTTTCTGCAGTTTAGTGTGCTTCACAGGCTCATAGTACTGGGCCTGGGTGGACAGAAAGGTTTCCGGCAAGACAAAGAGATTAGATCAAGAGAAGACTAGCAAATCAGTTGGCTAATCTTTTGCCTCTGCAGGGTAGAGTCAGAGACTGAGCAAGTATGGGACAAATCTGCTTCAAAATGTGTGGATCCTGAACTCTCAAAAGCCCTCCGTCCTCATCTTCCCTCAGGGTATTCATTTCCCAACAAATCACCTATGAGGCTGGGGAGACATAACCAACACTTGCCCACAGTAACAGAAACAAGATGCTTCACTCTTCCAAAAATAGTGTAATATGGTGCCTGGCATAGTGGGGCAAACCGGGAAATACTATGTGGCTTAACCTGACTGACCTCGTCTGGACCACTGTCTCTGTGGTGAGAGGAGGCCAGGGCCCAAGCTGTTCACTAGCAGACCCAGCAGATACCTCCCATTTACATCTTCCCACTGCTACGGCCTTTCCACCTGCACAGCTGCAGCTGCCTGAGCAGGCAGGTGCTCCTAAGCAAAGGAAAGGCAGTCTCGAAGCACAGCATGTCACTTAAGGTGTGGGTGGGACGGGGCAGCCCCACTATATTTGTTTTTTTCTCAGTAGGAGGATTAGGGAGGGAGGAAGGGAGCAGGAGGAAATGAATTATAAATGTTTTCCCTGGTTAGAAACATGTTTTCTCAACTGAGAAAAATATTCTGTTGCAAGAAACATTTTCTTCCGGGCCCTGCTTCCACCTCACCATGACAAACCCCAGAAACTGCTTCTGCCAGTGAAGCCAGAGCTGCTCTGACTCCTTGTTCTGCAGGAAGGGCACATTTGGCATTAAGGGGACATTCAGTAGTGAGTCTCTGCACTGCTGCCCAAACTTGCCCTGTGAGATCTTGGGGAAATGTTTTTGCACTTACCAAATCTGGCTGGATTGTGTAATAGCGAAGGTTCTCTAGGACAAATTTTGATTGGCCAACGGTATCAAAAATCTAAAAACAATAATCACAATTAGTGATTCCAAACTGTATCTCTCTTAATATTCTTTTCCTTATTTAGGCTCACTAAAAAGGGGTCTCAAAAATAAAATAAAATAAAATAAAGTAAAATAAAATAAAAAGGAGTCTCTAATGGATGCCAAGTGAAAACACTGTGCTTTATGTTTTGCTCTCTGGGTTTCTGGAACAAGGAGCACAGCAAAGAAAACTGGGACCTGGGCTATCATGAAAGGGAAGCTTATAAACAGAAGTGTGGGCCAGGCTTAGGTAATGTCAGCTGTTACGCTTAGGAGGTCAAATAGACTTGGTCAGCATCAAGTTCAGATTAAGACAAATCACTTTGTGAAATCACACCTCTCTGCTTTTTCCATCTCTACAGGAGGGAGATAAGGTGGCAGGGAACATAGAAAACAGGGAACAGACATATTCAGAGAGAGAGGAGAGAGAGAGAAGAGAAAAGAGAGAGGAGAGGGGGCAACAGTGTCTTTTGCATTCTTGAACATCCTTGCAGAATACAATTCTTCCAGAAATGTTGCAAGAAGTAACTGAATTTTGTTACGGCTTCTGCCTGCTACTTTGCATTGTTGCACTGGTGGTAGTGCTGGTTATCTGTAGACTGAGTGTCATGTCTGGTATTGGAGGAGCTGAGCCTCTTCCATCCCCTTGCTGCTGCTCCTAGCATTGTTGTCTCCTCTCTCACCTAGCCTCAGATTAATTTAAGACAAAGCAAAGGAATGAGAATGTGGAAGAGAAAAGCTGTAATTTACTTTCCTCGGGTCAGACACAATCAGAAACCTGTGTCTGGATCTGCAGCTCTAAAGATGCTGTACCCCTAAAGAGGTGGTTTGCTAAAATGGAGTTCAGGAAAAAGGAAATAATCCAACAGGAGGAAAAGAAAGCAAAAAGGCAAATGAAGAAGGCAGTAGTAAGAACGAACGGAGCTCTGGGAGAAGTGACGATGTGCTTCCAGAGGAAAATGCCAAGTTAGCTGGCAATTCTTGGTTGCTGGAAGAGAGCTGGTAAGAGGAACAGCAGAGCCACTCCACATGTTCTGTAGGACGGCTGGGATGAAATATGGGACAAATTCAAAGCCACACTCAGTTAATTTTTATCATCTTCTTGAAAACTGAAGTCTACTTATCCAAAACAAGAATATATTATGAAAAACCAGGCTCAGAAATATGACCTATGTGATTAATTTACAATTACTAGAAATCTAAGAATTTTTGTATCTTGGGAGAAAAGTATGAAGAAATTTTTCTTTAAACTGTTTTTCAAAAATTAATTTTAGAGGGAAAATTCTCTGGGGAAAATGTTTTTTACTCCCTGAATTTTTCTGAGATATTGCCTCTCTGCTTCAAATTAGCCTCCAGTAGTTAACTAAACCTACAAAATTGTCCAAATTGGAATATGTTTTTAGTTTTGTTATTTTGACCCGCATTATTATTGGCTAATGAAGCGAAAGCCTGAGAATATGCTAATCCTAGGAAAGCAACCAAGATGCCCAAGGGAGTTTTGCTACAAGACGTAGTCTTGAAGTGTAAGCACTTCCTAAGATACTAGTTCCTAGTTCTTGTGTCCTGATTTTTTTAAGGTATTTTATTTTGTTTTCTTTTTCATTAGTACATGCTTGGGATGTATAATTATTATATTACTCATGAGGAGTTGATACCTGATTTGCTGCTGATGTGTTTTTATCTCTTTTTACTGTGCTTCTATTTCTCGTTCACAGAACAATATAAATCAACCTAGCTGTACATGTAAATTTTAACCCATTTTTACTTTCTAGTAAGAAGTGTGTAGACGCAGCTTATAAAACACTCCGAAGCAACCCCACAGCATACACAAGAAGATTTGCTACTGTTCTTTCTTACCTCGTCATCATCAGTAACTATTCCTTTGTCAAGTTTAAGTGTGCTGTTTTCTGAGGTTTCCTTATTTTGAAACCTGAAAAAGAGGCAGAACGTTCAGCTGCATCTGCTGCCTTGGAGTACTGGCCCTTCTACATGTCTCAGTTTTCCTTAAGTTTAGGAACCGAATTTAGAAGATTACTTAATTGATCACAAATGGAATATGTAGTAAAGAAAAGGACTTCACTGTAGAGGCTTTAAAAGTAGGACGTCTTGGAGATTATGCTGACATCCAATGAGTTTCTTCTAAAATAGTTGTTTTTGGTCAAAGAAGTGCTCTACACTAGGTTCCATGGTACTCACCTAAAGTCTCAGCACTCTGGGAGGCTGAGACAGAAAGATCACAGATTTGAGCCCAGCTCAAACTTAGTGATACTCTGTGGCTAGATAAAAAAACACAAAACAGAATAGGGCTAGGGATGTAGCTAGGACAAGCCCTGGGTTAGATCTCTGGTACTGAAACAAAATGCTCTATTACACTGCCTATAGAAATTCTTTTGGGCAGTTAGACCCTTATAATATTCTTAAAGACACCTACTAATTTGAATGCATACCTCTCTCCTCTTCCTCCATATGGAAATGGCCCTTGTCAATTCCTGGCTGATGATCAGCCAGTGAATCCATGAGAAGGAAGACTATAGTTCATGAGACTTCACAGCTAAATTTCCATTACTTATTAACCTTGCTTGGATTATTGGCTATCTCATCTTCCTAACCACACCTAAGATTTCTCTTCCTAGAACTAACGTAGTAAAGAGATAATCAGTGCAAATATTTTCATATTCTGCACTTTTGCTTACTTTCCCATCTTCCACCTGATACTGATTCCCTTTGAGGAAAAAGGAAAGGCTAGACCCACAATGTTCAATAAAGTATTGGTGATTCCCTGTTTCTTTATAAACCTACTTACTGCCTGAACATAGAGAAAAAGGTTCATCAGTAAGATTGGGTTACTGATTCCAATAAACGGTCCTCTTCCTCTTTGGAGATAGCTCCATTTTGGGGTTAAACTAGCTCAAATTTAGAAGAATTCTGAAAGTACCTCAATTAGAATTCTCTCATTAAACATGAAGATACCCGAATAAAGACAAAAGTAACAAAAGTAGAAACAGCCAAGCTAGGTAGTTAGTAAAGCAACTGGCTATAGCATGGTATAGATAATTCCAAATCCAAGATCAAATTCCATCCAGGGATGATTAATGTTCATCTATTGCTATCCCTTCCTGGCCATTAGATAACCATTAATTCAAGCAAGAGATTATTCATTTGTTTATACTGGAAGGCCTTCCCACCAAGTCAGCTATATTCCCTTCCTTTATATTTTATTTTAATTTTGAGATATGGTTTCACAAAATTATTAGATTTTCCAGACCAGGCTCAAACTCGCGATAGCCTCATCCTCCTGGAGTATTGGAATTATAGGTGTGCACCACCAGCCAGCCAAGGAAATGGGTCTTAAAAGTGGCCCCAGGGGGAGAAGGAGACTCAAAGTGGATAAACCAAAATAAATTCATTCCAAATTAACACCTTGAAGTTGTGTCCTATGGCTGTAAATTATCTCATGTTTTAAAAGATCTTTATAGGGGTACCTTTAAAAATGATTCTTTGCTATCTAAAAGGCAGTATGGATTCCAGATACTCTTCTTTGAGGCCAATTTAAAACCTAGGACTTCATGAAAAGTACTTTTTCAGCCCAACATTGTTCATCTTAAACAACTTGGTGCTTCTTTTTCATCAAAGTTATGCTGCTTGCAGCATGAAACACAGAGTGAGCCCTGGTTTTTGATCTGCAATCAATCAACTAAAATATACTTTATGAGAGTCTACTCTGTGATAAGCACAGTTCAGAATGCTTTTGGGCTATGAAGCAAGTTAATGTCAAGTGATATTTATAACTTAGTTAAGCAAACACAGTTACATACTTGGCAAATTTCTTTGGGCCCATTGCTGTTCACAGTTAATTGTGCAAACCAACACTCGATGTTTGTATATAGTTCACAATCTGCAGGGATTCAATTCAACTGATTCTTTCCTTAATGCACCTGAATGCAACTGATTTCCTTAGTGCAACTGATTCTTTCCTTAATGCATCAAGAACCTCCTGGTTCTTGATCCTGTGTGGGAAACAAGAGAAGACTGACAGATAATAATGTAGATGTAGAAAATGCACAAAACATACCAGCTACTCAGGAGGCTAAGGCAGAAGGGCCACTAGTTTGAGGTCATCCTGGGCAATTTAACAAGACCTTGTCTGTAAAATAAATAAATGGATAGATAAAATACATTTATCTAAGGGAGTCTGAAGAGCCTACTAGTGGGAACACTTACCTAGTATGCATGAGGCTCTGAGTTCAATCCTTAGGACTTCCAAAAAGAAGAAAGAGAAAAAGAAAAGCACAAACATGATGGTACTTACCCACAAGAAATAAAGGTTATTTGGCCAGTGAGGGTGGGGGGAGAGTAGGTGATCACAAAACGTGAAGCGATAATAATAGCAACATTTCTACATACTAGGTAAGTCAGTTCATTTCAATTTCCTCATCTGTAAGTGGAAGGCATTTACCCAATGACTGAGAAGTGACATACTAATTCCATGACAGTAGTAAGATTTATCTGTGTGAAGATCTGAAATAAAATAATTCACATTAGAAGTGGGAGATACCGTCAACAATGTAGAACTCACCATTGAAAGAAAGAGGTCAGTGAGAAGAGGAAGAGGTACAGGGAGGGATGCAGAGTTTGAGCTGGTCCTTGCAGGAGTGTGGGTATGAAGTAGCCTAACGGGAAGGCTAATTGTTGCTGTTTTAAGAACTCAGAAATAAAGACACGTGGATAGGATGGGATTCCATTATGGGAGTCTTGAAGATTAAGTAAAACTTTGATAAGACCTACTAGCCTAAATTCCTGTAAAGACTGGAGATCTAGAAAGACAGTTAATGTTTGTGTTAGTGAGTAATTTTTTAAGGCTTTGGGCCTAGTTTTACTGGTTTGAGCCTTATACCCTAAAGATGACTGTTCAGAGTTTATGTTTAGACTAAACTAAATCCTGAAATTCACCTTCTAGGGAAATAGACTAACCAACTCTTCATCTTTTCTCACCTTTAGCTCTTCTGGTATTGTAAGACCAGTTCAAGTATATATTGAAATGAAATAAAAAGGAGCTATCAAATTGGAAGTTACAAGGCTTGTGAGCACAGGCTGTGGGAAAAAATCAGCAACCACAAAAAGTGAATTTAAAATAAAAATAGGTCTAGCTGAGAGTAGGGGGCACATAGTGATACCCTCAGCTACTTAAGAAGCCACGGCAGGAGGATCTCTTGAACCCAGGGGTTGGGTGCTAGCCTGGGCAACAGAGCAAGACCCCATCTGGAAGGAGGAGAAGGAGAGGGAAGGAGGAAGGGAAGGAGAATGTGGAGGATAAAGAGGAAAAGGAGAGAAGGGGAAGAGGGAGAGGAGGAGGAACAAGGAGGGAAAACAAAAAAGAGGAGGAAGAGGAAGAAGGAGGAGAGGAGAGGAGGGGGGAAAAGAGTAGAAAGAAAGAGTGAAGAAAAAGAGGAGGAAGAGGAAGAAATAGAAAGAGAGAGAGAGAGAGAGAGAGAGAGAGAGAGAGAGAGAGAGAGAGAGAGAGAGAAACAAAGAAAAGAAAAGAAAGAACAAAGAAGACAGAATCCGGTGTACAGTACCTTAAGGACAACAGGAAATCTCAGGAAGAAGGTAAAATTCCTTGATACAGAAACTTTCCACTTTGAAAATATCTTAATTACTCTCTTCTGGATTCCAGAGGAGATGCAAGGAATTTGTGATGAGCAGACAATCTAGAATGCTGAGGTGTTCCACACTGAAGCAGAGGGGACGCAGAAGACAAAGACATACTTAAAATCTACTCTTAAGTGCTCATATTTTTAACCTATGATTCCCCCCCACACACATTTACTTCTGCAACATCTCTTAATCAGTCTCTACTTCATCAGTATTTTCATCCCGTTCCTCATAAATATGGTACCAACCTAGTGAACATTTATCTCTTATTCCTCCTTCTTAAAATACTCTTCATAACTATTTGAATTTTCTTCCTTATATGTTACTACTCAGGACTTTCTTCTAAACACAAAACTTCCCAGATCAACACCAAACTCAAGCCTACAGGCACGGTTTTCAGTGCCTGTAGTTATATAGTATCTTGTATTTTTACTTATGCTTTTCTTATATGCAGGTTTTGTCTTCTTGCTAGGTGGTCAGCTCCTTGAAAATGGAGCTGTAAATTTCATACATATTTGCACCTCCACAGAGTTTTGTAGGTTGGACATTTGAAATCAATACTTGTTTATTTTAGTATATTTCTGGACATTTGTCATATGTTAGACACCATTCTACTAATGGGAATCATAGCTCAGATAAATCCTTGACCTTAACCTGGGGCATCATGATAAATTTTTTTAAAAAGAACTTTAAAATGAGTATATAATGCCCACGTTTATTCTGTAAGAGTATTTATTTCTATTGATAAATTATATATTTTAATTTTATGAGTTTTATTATACCCTATAATATATACTTATTGAGAAAATAAAATATCAATAAGTAGAATATTAAATTTTGAATATGTAGTGTTTAGCATAAACATCAATTTGCTTACAAAATCCAAAAAATAACAACAGAAACTGTAGTTCCTACGTAAACTACAATGAAAATATAAATAAAACTTTACTACAGAAGCAAACTTTACCTCATTTATCACACCTTAGGCAGTCTCCATACATGAAACTGCCATGTTACATACACAAGTATGACTTACACTGACAGCATATGTGTTTTGCTTTCCTCTCTTTCTGGGCAGGTCACATTTGTCATCTCTCTTGTCTCTTTGTTTGGCAGGGGGTTTCTGTTATACAACATGCACTTAGGAAAATAAAATATAAACAAAATAAAACATCAAATATGTACTGAGTATTAAGAATTAATGTCAACATTGTCTACATCAACTGTTTGCTATTTCTAAAAAATAGCAACAGAAATAAATTTGCATGTGAACTACAATGAAAATACAAATAAAACTACCACAGAAATAATCTTTACTTCAATTATCACACCTACAGCAGTCCTCACACTGCATTTCCATACACAAGCATCACTCACACTCAGAGCACATTGTGGTTTGTCTTCCTGTCTTTTTTGTTAGGACATACTTGACATCTTGCTAGTCTTTCTCTTTTCTTAGGAGGTTCTTATGATGCTTCACCTGTCTGTTCACCTACTCCAGAATAATTTTGTGGAATTCTTTCGGCAGGTACATATTGTTCTTCTGCTGTAATTGATCATTTATCAATTTCAGGCCCAATCCTAAGAAAATTTCTCCATGATATTTTGTGCTTGTTATTTTCCTTATAAGCTATGAAACTATTTATGTCTGACATGTTTAGGACTCAATAAAACACAACCACTGGCCAACACTTTGTGTTTTGACATCCAGTTGCTGCATAAATTGCCAACAACATTTACTCTGCCTTTCATTTTGTTGTAAAATGTGACCATTTGTGGCTTCATTTGTGTTTATGATTCACTATCAGTTCTTTCTTTCTTCTCTTGTTCTTGAGAAAGAATCTTACTATGTAGTCCACACTAACTAGAACTCACTATGTAGCACAGGCTAACCTTGAACTTACAGAATCCTCCTGCCTTAGCCTCACAGGTGCTGGGGTTACTGGCATCCATCACCATGCACGGTTTCACTATCAGTCTTATCATTATGGTAAAATGTTGGCAGTATCAATACTACTTTGTTTTTCTTCAGTATACACAAGGCCAATGTAAATCTTTCTGAAATCTAAAACTTGTACTATATATTTCTCTATTATGAATATGCCACATTTTGGGGGGAATCTCTACTTTGTTCTTGCAAATAGCTCCTGTGCTGGTCAATTGGTATTGATCATTTGGAAATGTTAACATCAGTGGGCAACTAGTGAACCAATTGTCAAATGTGACATTTTAGTCCACTTTGTATGCTTTGATACTGTGACTTGAGCAACTGTCTCTAAGATGATAATGTGTAATCTATTAACTGGTGATTTCTTACTTTTTTTTATGTAGTTCTGTATTACTTGTACCCTTACACCACTTTGTTTTGTTTTGTTTTTTCTCTTTTTCCTTTTAAATAAAATTTTTTTTAAAATGTGACATTTTAATGGTTACTTTTTGAATACGTGCAACAAGTCCGTTCACAAGGTGCTATGATTTACTACTGTATGAATAAAGATCTGGTAGCTGAATTCCAGGATAAATTTCTAAATTCAAGGTGTAAAATGTCTTCACATATACCAGGGCATGTATTTTATACCATATTAAGAAGGTTTATTTGGCATATAGTACAGGAACCTACAACAATCATGAAACAATGTGAGTTGTTTGTCAATTGTCATGTATTTTGATGGTACATAAATTGCTCGACAGTTCAAAGTTTTCAAAAACAACAGCCAAACTGTGAGATTTTTTTCTTTTTTCTTTTTTCGGTAGGACTTTTTGCTATTAAAACGTATGCAATTTTAAAGGAAACTAAATCTCTTGAGTGTCATTATTGTTCTAAGAATCTCAACATCATATCTATCACTTCATAAATTCTTTAGAATCTGATTAAAATGATAAAATCTAGCTATGAAAGCTTTTAGTTCAGATAGTGAGGTGTCATGATAAGTATAATTTTGAGTACTATGATTGGTGCATATAGAACATTTTACTTGTACATCATTATAAGTATGTTTCACAACATCTTGTAGCATATAGTCCATTACAATTTACAACACTAAATTGCAGTGTTGGTATTCTGTCCTAGGTTTTATCCCTAGAAAGAATTTAACATTTTCCAACCTAGTTCTAATGTTGGATCATTCAGTTATACAAGACCATTTTATCGAATTTTGCTTAGTCAATATTTACTTACACTACTGTTTTCTTCTGCATCTGAATCAAGGTCCTCATTCTGTGCTTCTCTGTCTGTCACATATTGTTCCATCTCATTGTCCCAACTTCTTTGGTTTACATGATCCAAGTCATTATTGGTAGGTGAGTGACATGGATGAGCACTTTCAACCTCTTCCCAAAGTTCTAAAAGCAAATTTTCATGCAATGTTGTACTGAATTGGGCTAATTCTACAAGCAAAATCAAAAGAAACTATTGAATAAAACAAATTTAAATACTCAAAATGTAACAGTGTGTAAAGTGGGTAAAAACTCATCTGTTGATACTTTGAGACCCAAGCATACACATTGCCATTCACCTACCAAGTGGGCAGACACAAAGATGGCTTCCTATATTCCCGCAGTGCAACTTCTGAGACACTCAGCTACCTACCGCTCACTACAGTAGATATTTACATTAGAAAAGTGTGGTGGGCATCTGCTACCCAATTTGAGGAACTGGAGTGAGCTCGAAGTTTATCCAGGAAAAGTGGCAAGACAAATATGGACTGCAAAATAATTTTCTGGCTATGCTACAGACAAGTTTAGGATGCTATGGGAGTAGAGAAGAAAAAGACTTAATCCAGACTGAGAAAAGCCCAGGAACAACGTGGGACTAACACCTAAACTGAGCCTGGAAAGCTATGAATTAAGTAGATGAGGAAAAGAGAAAACAGGTATTTGAGAGAGGGAAACAAGCACCAGTAAAAGTATGAGAATACCAAAAAACTTGTTTAGCAGGTTTGAAATAACTGCACTACGGCTAAAACATGAGATTTAGGGGAAACGTAGCAAGTAGTTTGACTGGAGTGGTAGACCAGAGATCCTAAATTGAAGTCCCTGAGAGCAAGTTTGTAGATTATTCTGCATAATGAAGAATTGTATGGAATTTTAAGTAAGGACATACGTATATTTTCTTAGAACTATGAAACTAGTAGCAAGATGAACTGCAGATTGGAAAGACACCAGAAAAAGAGATTTAAAAAGAGAATGGGAGGTAAAGAATGGAAACAAATCTTTTATAAGTGGGGAGGGGAAGAAGGGTTGAAGGAAGGAAAAGAATTAGACAAAAAGGAAAAATTAAGACATATTAATGTACAGGTACAAATTTCCTGTGATGAATGTGATCATTATGTGTGGTAAATATGTACTAATAAAAAATAATTACAGATGGGAGAGCTGCAAAGACATACAAGCTTAAATAATATTACATGGTTTCTCTTACATGAAAAAATCCAAAGAATAAAAAATTTAAAGAGCAAAAATAGGAACAGAGAGAGAGAGAGAGAGAGAGAGAGAAAGAGAGAGATCTTTTGCAGATGGAAAGAAGGGAAGAGGAAGGACGAGATGGGAAGGAGAAGTGAAAACTATTAAGATGTGTTGCTGTGTACATGCACCAACTCCCCATAATGAATGTAATCACCGTGTGTTACAAACATGTACTAATAAGAATTAAGACTGATGTAAAGAGACAAAGACAAGAATGCTATGGCAGTCCTGAGGAGGCTGCTGAGAAATGAAAAGGCCTGTAGTCACAAATACGTGCCATTCACCCCTATGTCCTGGCCCTGGATGACATATACTTTGCTAGGAATTTGCAAGTCCGATGAAGACAGAGATTAAACCTGATTGTGTCTGTGCAGAAGTACTCCTTATCTAGCCTTCACTGAAGGATGGTGATCCATATTTCCCTTCAATTCTCTGAGCTTCCTCAATATTATTTCAAATAAATCTTCCCTTTTTGCCTAAATTAGTTAGAGTTTGTTTCTCTGGATTGCGACCAAAAGCACCTAAGT